TATAAAGTTCTTATATGCATGTTACTGGTTTTATTTCTCTAGAAAACTCACAAGGGGTAAAATGGTGGTCTTTTAATATAGATGCACTTGTGCATGTGTTAATTTTAGGAAAATAGTTGTATTTCTATAGATATGTTTTTCTCTTATTAGTCTTAAAGTTTGTCTCCTTTATGATTTTTCCACTTTTATAAAAGAGCTAAGGAAATCATTTCTATATTATAATAGAAACATCAGTGAAAGCATATGATAAGTGACAGTTGACACTGTAAGTCAACAAAAGGCAATGGAGGGGACTGAAACATTAAAGACTCAGTGTGTCCCTCATTGGACAGGTCCTTTACACACCTCCACCCAGCTTTTGCCGTGTAAGAATGTGGACCTGAAGAAGCCATGTTTCTTAACTTTTCAAAAGAAGCCAGCGATCTGGATTTTTATCCAAAACCTTTATATTGCAGGTTTTGCAGTTGAAAGGTACAGTCAACAACATTGTTCCTGTATAATACTTGGGTTTCTTTAAAATTCGTCGGCAGATGACATGAAGCTCTGTTGATTTAACTCCAGTGATTTTTCTAAGTTAGTTTATAGCAGCTTGAGTGGGTGTTGACCACTATTTCATATGATTATATCTCAAACTTTTCCATTTTAGAAAATTCTTTAGGGGATGGACTCGCTGTCATGTTTTTAGTGAGCTCTGGAGAAAATAATTGATTAGGCTGGATCTCAGTATAAACCAGTATCTAATAAGAAAAAGACAGTGCACTAATTTAGTAACAATTTTGTCATGTCCTATACTAAAACTATATTTGAAAGTTATAAAGCAGGAAGGTTATTCCTGAATTCTAAGTGGAAAGGTCTTTTGGCATTGTGTGAAATGAAATTTTACAAACCACATGTAAGCCATACAGTTCAATATTCTGATTTTGAAGACTATCAGGTCTTGACCCTTTAATCAAACATGACTAGTAAGACTACAGTATTTCTGGGTCAGACTAAAATGGTCTAGATTCATTTTTGAAGGATTAATAAAAATTGCTTTTTTTCCCAGATAGGTGAAATAACTAGATTAAAATATTGACAGTAAAATATAGTTATCGTGAAAGCCCACGTTAATAAAATAAATTTATATCTTAATCATGGCATTTAAATAGTTTGTAACAAAAGCTCAGTTACCTCAAAATCAATGTAGTAGTTAAGATTTATTAAGTGGCCGCTGTTGAGAGAAGGATGTGTACTCTAGAATAATTTCCCATCCAAAAGGAATAAAATGAGTTTTACATACACAGGACTATGTAATTGGTAGCATGAAACACAGAGAAATTAGAGCTGTACAAAATTCTGTTAAAAATAGTTTCTTAACTAAAATAGTAAATTGTTTATCAAGTTAAATCTTTGAATTTAATGGCTCCACTTAATAGTTCAAGGAACATTTATTAAATTAATCTAATTTTTATATGTTGTATGAAATCTTATTTATCTTAAGTGAGATTAGTATATGACATGAGGTGTATAATTATAATTAACCTGTAGAGCAAGGGTGGGAACCTTTTTTCTGTCAAAGGCCATTGGATATTTATAAAATCATTTGTGGGCCTTGCTGATCAAACATTTAATTAACTCAGCCTAATATGACTGAAACTACTTCTCTTTGATGAGCTGTGTGATGTTAGCTGGTATTGATTATTTGTCGGCCTAATAGTTTGTAGGGCAGGCATGCTCCATTCCTGCTGTAGAGTGAAGAGATATTTCCAGTGTGTAGGTATATGGATAACTGGTAAATGGGCACGGTTATGATACTGTAATCTGGAAAACTATATAAAATTCATAGGTGTGATTAGGTATGACTACGTGATGAAGTACTCCATTAATGAAGATAGAAGCTTTGTTGTTATTTGCTATTGAGCCAGCTCCAACCCATGGTAACCCAAAATGAAACTGCAGTGACATGAAGGTATGTAGTATGGCTCTTCTATCCATAGTCTTTATCACTCTCATGGAATGACTAGGTGGAACCGTGCAAATAAGATGTAGAGGACTAATTCAGGATTCGGTCGGTTTTGCCATTCCAATGGGTATAGAATATACTGTCTGAAGCAAATGCAGAGACTCCTACAACTACCGAAAAAGGGCCAGAAGTGAAGCCCTTTGCAATCCCTGAATGGAGAGGAGCGGAGAAGTAGCACTGAAACCCTGAGACCGAGCAGAAGAGCTGAGGTGGACCATGAGAGCAGTGTGTTTCCCAGCCTGAGGAAGAAGTCAAGTCTTCCTCAGACAGAAGGCAAATTTGGAGAGTAGGGTGCCCTTTGGGCATTTATTAGGAGGTTTTTAAAAGGAGTCTTGACTGAGAAGGGCAGAGGCCAAGGGTTTGTTTGACTGAGAGGACAGGACCAGAAGGAGAATTACCTTCCAATATGGCTAAGGAGGTGCTGTATATAAAAGAATAGCATTCTTAAATATTTTAGAAATGATGATGGCAGCATATATACAAATGTGCTTGATAAAATTGATGTGTGGATTGTTATAAGAACTGTAAGAGCCCCAATAAAATGATTTATAAAAATTAATTTTTAAAAATAAATAAAAGAACAGCATTCTTAACGTTTTCTCATCCTGACTTGTTCTAACCTAGTGGTTCTCAATCTGTGGGTCGCGACCCCTTGGGGGTTGTCGAACGACCCTTTCACAAGGGTCGCCAGATTCATCACAATAGCAAAATTACAGTTATGAAGTAGCAACAAAAATAATTTTATGATTGGGGGGTCACTCCAATATGAGGAGCTGTATTTAAGGGTCAGGGCATTAGGAAGGTTGAGAGCCACTGTTCTAACCTGTAAATTTCTCTTGTAAACCCCATTGTTGTATTGTCTGTGAGTTCTTTTTTTTTATTTTTATCATTTTATTAGGGGCTCATAAAACTCTTATCACAATCCAGGGTCCTATGTGGCCATTGCATTGGATTATCAAATGCCGCAGAGAAGTAGCGTGCCATAGGAGTGATGGTTGGTGTCAATGTGGGGTAGAGAAAGTTGGTGGTATGTATGTATAGTAGGAATTAGCCTTAGACTAATGGCTCTGTGTTCAAATATCATTGTGGTTCTGTGCTGACTTCCATAAAATGTAACTTAACTGTCATGGACTGGGCAAAAAGAAAAAGGTCCACAGAGATGGTGGTCAAGACAGACCTGCTGCAGACATTTGTGATGAATACTTGCAGGAAAATGAAGTTTGACATGATTTATAATTCGACTAACATTCACAGAGGCCGAGAGTCAGAGGCAAAGGGGTGCAATATCACCGCAAGAAACCTTTTCACATTTCCCAATTAATTTTATGTAGTCTGTCAGTCACCAGAAAAAAAAAACCAACTTGTTCTTGTGAAGCAGAATTTTTAAGTCCATTCAATCAAAGAGTCTGGTATATCTTTCTGGGTCTATTCATTTGCAGATGGAAAGAGACTGTAACCAGATTCTTCACATCTTGCATTCTCAGGTGATGCCACATCTTCATATGCGATCCCATTTCTTTAAGATAAATGGAGTGACTCGCAGCAGGGCCACGTAAATAAGAAAGTTCCGTGTGGAGGAGACCACGTCCTCGCGCATCTTCCATTTCATTTCCTCAGGGTCCAGCTGCTGTGTGAGGCCCTCCATCCAAAACACCGTGGCTGGACTTCAGCGACTCCTCGCTATGGGTCTAGATATGTCAGTCCTTCTTATGGATGTTTCCCTCCCTCTCGATGGCCCTTCACTGAGCCAGAAGGACACCTTTGTCCAGCAAGTGTCTGTCTTGATGTATGTCTAAAATCAGTAAATCGAAGCCTCAAGCAATATTCTGTGTTCAATAGGTTTTCAGAAGAACATCACCAGACCTTGTGGGGGGAAGTCAGATACTTGCTGCCAGACTGCTGTCTCATCCCACCATGGGGGTGGGCCTGCTCCCTGCTGCTGGGGACAATGGACAGGCTCCTGTGGGCGGAGTTCGCATCCTACTGATAATGGTCTCTATCAGTTGGGCCAGGGACAGGCCAAACCGGCTGTCCCTCCTCTTCCTATAGCGTGTATGTCCCTAGATCACCCCCTCCCATCACTGTAATACCCGTAGCACAACCCTTTCCCGTGACGTATGTCTTCACCTGTAATGTGGGGGCTTGCACGTCCTCAACGTCCCCAGAGAGTATAAAAGCTTGGGGAGCATTAAAATTCTCTCTCTCTCCACGTGAATTACCAAGCGGGGCTGAGGTGAGCAATGCTACTATGTAATGTGTCTGACTCCATTTATTTCTATATATCTCTTTTATCTCTCATGCTCTCTATAACTTTTCTATAATATTTACTTATTATCGCTGTACAATTGCACCTACCGAACCCGTAGTGATTGTGCTATGAGCTGGCTTCTTCTGGCAAGACCTATTTCCTAAGCTATTTTAGACTTTAGCAGATAGAACCTGTGGTGTCAGTTTCCACTGAGTTGATTCTGACTGACGACAGCTCCATGTGAGCAAAGTCAAACTGCTCCTTTGTATTTTCAAGAGTGACATTTCAGCAGCAGGTTGCCAGACCTGTCTTCCGACGTACCTGAGGGTGGGCTTAAACAGCCATCTTTTGACTTATAAAATTCCAGATAGAAGCTAAAAATCCAAACCAAACTTCTTGCTATGAGTTGTTTGAGTTCTATAACAGCAACATTGTAGAGCAGAGCAGAGCTGCCCATAAGGTGCCCAAGGCTGTAAATCTTTATGGGAAATGATAGCCACACTTTCTCTTGGAGAAAAATTAGTGAGTTCAAACTGCCAATCTTTCGACCTTTGGGTTACCAGGTGAGCTCCGATCCACTGTGCTACCAGGACTCCCAAGATAAAAGCTGCTGGTTGTTAGATGTGCCAGTAGACTTGCCACAAAAATTTAATTGTAAAAAAAAACAAACAAAGAAACCACTATTCATGAAGCACAGTAAAGGGTATTACAATAAAATGACATGCGTGTAATCAAAAATTTGCTGATTTCAGGTTAAAGTAATACTTTGAATTGTTTCTTAAACCGCAGTGGTAGGTTTTGTAGTCACCACATAGTTTGTATTATTTGATGCCATTTGAGTTTGAAAAATTTCTAAGCCTTTATTTTCATTTTATATCTTTGAAATATATCAGAAGAAGCCAAAAACTAAACAAAATACTGTTTTCAACGCAATGTAAGTTTTAAGGGATATTTAGTTTTTCGTGATGAACTCTGGCTGGGTTTTGTAATAAGCTTGATAAAGTAGTGGTGTTGTTGGGTGCTATCGAGTCGGTCTGACTCATAGTGACCTTATGCAAAGCAGTTTGAAACACTGACTGGTCCTGCGCCGTCCTCACAATCGCTACCACGTTGAAGCCCACTGTTGCAGGCGTGGAGTCAGTCCATCTCCTTGAGGGCCTTCCTCATTTGTGTTGACCTCTACTTTACCAAACCTAATGTCCTTCCCCAGGGATTGGTCTTTCTTGACAATACATCCAAAGTAATAAGGTATAGGAATTCTGGCAAAGATGTTCTGTGACAATCTATGAAATACTACTGGTGTCTTACATATAGAGAATGAGTATTCCATATTTCAATTTAATAGAAAATTTTATTTTAACCTTTTTTTAACAAAGAGTCCATTTTCATATTGGAATACATGCAGTGCTTCAGTTTAATTGGAGTTGTACATAGCAGTGGTAACTATCCTTTTATCATGTTATATATGATGATTATAAAGTAATAGGTAAGTTCCCTGATTTCTCTTCTTTCTATGGACAGATAATCTCAGTGACACCTTGAAGAAGCTGAAGATAACAGCGGTAGACAGGACTGAGGATAGTTTAGAAGGATGCTTGGATTGTCTGCTTCAAGCCCTGGCTCAAAATAGTAAGTTCTCTTATGTTTTATTTAAATGTCAAAGAAAAAAATCCAAACAGCAGTCATTCAGAAATTGGTAGTTTAGCACATAACTTGGATTTACATAACTTGAATTCCTTTAAATTCTCTCAATATGGTGGTTGTTTTGTATGCCTCACCCCCGACCCCTGGCACCCAGTTCCTTCTCCCTGCATGTTCCTTCACTCCCCCACCTTCCCCAAGGGACAGAAAGCCAGTTGATAGACGAAAGAAGGAAGGCATTGATGGCTAGTGATGACATTAATACCAATCCCAGAGGGAGGTTCTGATTCCATTTCAAATAGACAAGCATCGTAATTGTTTTTCTCTTACCACTTACATTTGTGCTTTTAAAAATAAAGGCAGGTGCTTATGTGTGGCGATGGGAGAGGAGAGAAGAGACAAAAGGAGCATTGAAAACATTTGTTTTCTTCTGAGATCTTTTGGCCATTTTGTTCTAATTTTACTTTAGCGTGTATGTATAGATTCAGTTGAAAAGAACCTTCAAGTAGTCTGTTAAAAAAAATCCACTAAAATTCATTTAAGGCTTAATCTTTGGTATTTTGTTATGGATAACTTTAGAGATAAATTTTTTACACATCTTCATTGACTAACAGTGCATTCTTGCATTTGCACTACCATATTTTTATTCACCAATTACCATACTATCATTGTGAATAGATTGGTACAAAATGATCTTCATTTATTTCCGTAAATTTTTGTTGTTCATGTTGTGGTTTGTCCTGTACTTTCAGTTAATGATACCATTGTCTTTTCTGGAACTAACTGTCACTGACAAAGAATTACAGAGGAAAATATAGATTTTTAAAATTTCAGTTTCAAGTATTCAGATGTATTCTTTTTTTCTTTCTCCTTAGGTAAAAGGATTAGACTATCCAAAATACTTTATTACAGTATTTAAAAGCTAGCTTATAAAATTCTTTTATATAATGCTCCTTGATTTTGAGGTTATAACTATCAAGCTATTTGGTTTCAGCAGAATCAGAGGTTTTGAAACGAGTAGCTCAGTGAGAACATTTGGGGAAGGCTCAGGTGGTAAAGAAACAGGAGATGGGGAAAAAAGAATGCCCAAGGCTGTGCTGTCAGTTAATGTAGACATTGGGCATGTGTGGCTATTTAAATTTAATAAAATTACATTCCATAGTTTACTTCTCAGTTACTTGTCTTTGTTTTGCCAACCGCCTTATTGGGGTCACCGTAGACAAAGATTAGTTCCATGATCACAGAACGCTCTTGTGGTTAGTTAGCATTGGTATAGAGGACTAGAAATGACAACATGATAACTTGATTTTGAGAGTACCTTTATGGGTAGCTTTACATAAAAATGCAGTTTTTCTAAGTATATTGAGTACCTCAAATTAATTTTTTAGCAGTTGTCTATAATTTATTTTTTTAACATAGTTTATTTGGCATATATGTCACATATACAATTTAATCATTCAGTCATGTTAAGATTTGTATCATCACCACAATCGATTTCAGAACATATTTTTCCTTGTACACATTGTTGTTAACGCCCCATTTCCCCCCATCCTCCTCTGCCATGCCGTTAGACAAGTTATCACTGTAGTTACCGTCTCTGTTGATCTACAGATCCTGTATTTCATATACACAAAACCATACAAAACATAAATCGGAAGCAAGTAAACAAAAAAATCCAGCCACAATGACTAAACAAAACATAGAAATCCTCATTCAAAAGAATTGTCCATAACATTCGGTCTTTTTTCCCCCTTTGTTAGGAGAAAAGGTAGACTCTTTGTGGCTCATTTGCTTCAGACTAGGAAAGACATGGAGGGTATTTCCTTGCTCACAGGTAGAAAGAAGGTCATTCAGCTATCCTGGAAATACTGGACGACAAATTAAGATGAAGAGAGAACGTGAAGAAAAGGGAAGCAGAAGTTTATTGCAGTCTTTTCAAGAACAGATTCGAGAGATATTAGGAAGTGTGTGATTGTTGGATCAAATTTCAGGCCCATTATTCATTGAACTGATAAGTTGAAAGTGTATACAACAAAAACCAGGGGATATTAATGAAAATAATAAACTATCAATTTAAGTAATGACTCTAAGTTGCGGGGAGGAAGCATATAAGAACTAGAGGAAAGTTGTATGTTTCATTGTTGCCAGCCTGCACCCTGACTGGCTCGTCTCCTCCCTGCAACCCTTCTGTAAGTGGGTGTCCAGTTGCCCACAGATGGGCTTTGGGTCTCCACTCTGCACTCACCCTCATTTACAATGATATGATTTTTTGTTCTTTAATGCCTGATACCTGATCCCTTTAACACCTTGTGTTCACACCGGCTGGTGTGCTTCTTCCATGTGGGCTTTGTTGCTTCTGAGCTAGATGGCTGCTTGTTTACCTTCAAGTCTTTAAGACCCCAGATGCTATATCTTTTGATGAAGGAATATGTCCTCTTAAGAATTTAAAATCATGCATAGGTATCTAAAGCCTCACTCTATTGATGCAAGATAATTTTACACAGGAAGAGGGTTTATAGCAGTTTCCTAAGGCTTCCCTAACAAAGTACCACAAGTGGGGTGGATAAAAACAACAAATGTCTTATATCAGCCTACTAGAGGGGAAACTTTGGAAATCAACAGGGTAGTTCTCCTTCTGCAGGATCTAAGGAAGAATCTGTTCCAGGGCCAACTCTTAGCTTTCGTTGGCTGCAGCAGTCCTTGGTTTTCTGTGATTTGTAGCTGTATCACTCCAGGCTCTGTCTCTCTAGACACATAGCCGCCTTCTCTATGTCTGTTGTATACCTCTTATAAGGCTACCAGTGATTGGATTTAGGCCCAGTCTAATCCAGGATGATCTAATCCAGGCGTCCTCAAACTACGGCCCGCGGGCCACATGCGGCCCGCCGAGGACATTTATCCAGCCCACTGGGTGTTTTTTGCCCCGTTCTGTTTTTTTACTTCAAAATAAGATATGTGCAGTGTGCATAGGAATTTGTTCATAGTTTGTTTTTTTTTAAAACCATAGTCCAGCCCTCTAGCAGGTCTGAGGGACAGAGAACTGGCCCCCTGTTTAAAAAGTTTGAGGACCCCTGATCTAATCTTTTATGAACAGATGGACATCTGCAAAAGTTCCGTTTCCAAATAATGCCTCATTCACAGGTACCTATATTTTTTAGGGAAGGACACAGTTCAACCACACAGGAAGTTGGCAGACATGCAGTCTTGTGATTTAAGAATGTCCACCATTGATTGAGTACCTAATGTGCATAGCACCAGTCTGGTGACTCTGTAATTGAATGTAATCTTTCCAGTAGTCCCATGAGTTAGGTATTATACTCAACATAACGAATGTAGAAACCATTTCAGTAAGGTCATTTGATATCTGGCAAAATCCAGAGTCTATATTTGAACTCTTAATTGACCTCCCCCCCAAAAAAGTTATGCTAAGTAAAGTGTTTTTTGGTTATTACTGGTTTATAGACTACGGAGAGAAGCCTTGGTTAAGCACTTAGCTGCTACCAAAAGGTCGGTGTTCAAACCGACTTGCTGCTCTGTGGGAGAAAGATGTGGCCGTATGCGTCCATAGATATTTTCCCCCATAGAAAATGTTAGGCAGAAAAAGAAAAAAAAAAGAAAATGTTAGGCAGTTCTGCTTTGTTTTCTAGGTTCTTTGTAAGTTGGAATCAACTAAGTGATAGTGCTTTGTGGCTTTTTTTGTGGATTTTTGGTTATAGACTAAATTAAGCTAGATTTCATTATTTCTTAATTTGATGGTTTCTCTTTCAAAATGTTATTATTAAAGATAGGGATGATAAATAAGCTTTCTCCCTTCTCTTTAAGCTATACACTGATCATAGATGATCTGTTTATTGGTCTTTATATATTTTATAAACTTCATATCTAGATTTTAAATATAATCAAGGATATTCCAGTAGGATATTTATTTTCTGTAGTTGTCCTTTTAATAAAGTGGTCGATCCACTGCTACTTCTGTTCTCTTAAAGGTAAAATTATGCGTGAAGCTCTTTGTGCTGTTTTTGTACCAGAACCTTCTAGTCGTTTAAATTTTCCTTAGTGCCAGGTGCTTTAACTAAAAATATCATTGTTTGCATGAAATTGCACCTGATCAGGAAAGAAAAATGCCTCCATTTTCTAGAAAAAGATAGGAATATGTGTAATGGGAATCTAAAATTTTGATGATCTAGCAACCTGTCATTGGAAAAGATATTTCTGAAATTAAAGAAGCAATGCTTTAAACATATTTATACTACAGAGATCTGATATATATACAATAGACATTAGAAGTGATAGTAATTTGAAATGGAGGTTTTTATTTTGATATGACTTGGGAATGCTCTTTTCTTTGGGTAACGTTATCCACCAGTTACTTTAGAATTGATTGGCACTCATGATGACCCCAGGTGTGTCATGTAGCACCACATTACATAGGATTGTCAGTGACTAATAATTTTTTCCCTGATGTAGATTGTCAGACTTGTCTGTCAAAGTCTAGGTTCCTCTGGGTGGACTTGAACCTCCACCCTTTGTTGCAGCTCAGTTTGTTAACCATTTGTACCACCCAAGCACTCTGTAGTAAAATTAAATAGAGTGTTTATTTTATTATGTCTTAGACAAGAGTGATAAAATTTGGACCTGTAGGAAACATTTCTACATTTCTGCAATTGAATTGAAACAATTCAAGAATTATGAGTAAATCCCTGATCTAAATTGATTTAGAGACATTCACTCATATACATACTTCATATCTAAGTTTTTAAATGTTTTTAGTGAATAGATCACAGCTACCCATCTGGAAATCAATGTTTATTCCATTCTGTTTTGATTCAGTTTTAAGTTAGGGGATTTTCAATAAAGGCATGTTGAATTATAGTGCAGTTACACTATTTCATGCTTATTTGAAATTAAACAATAGACCACCAACTATTTCATCTAAAGATATTAAGAAATGAATTTGTGATACAGAGTCTGGTATTAATATATCACCT